CAGCAGTCCCTACAGCTCAGTGTCATTCAATATAAAAAGATTTAAAATTTTATAAAAAGGGGAGCATTTTGAGTTTTTAGCTAACCATTTTAAGGTTTTCTTAAAATTTGCCTTAGATTTGACTGAAGTGTGTGTGATAGAATAGAAAACTAAGTCACACCGCACCTGTCTTTAGGGTTAAACTATGTGCATATTTCTTGGTAAATCCTGCTGGAGTAAATGCTGGGTCTGTGCTGTGTCCAGCATCCCTCCATGGACAGAGGGAAGAAGTATCTTTCTCCTTGCTGTGACTGTGCAGTGGGACTGAGCTTGCGGTCAGCTGACGGTCTATGAGATCACCTGACAGTCTATGTGGTCACCTGACAGTCTATGCAGTCAGCTGACCGTCTGTCCAGAACCCCCAGTTGGTGTCCTCCCATCTCATTATACCCTTCCCTTTTCTTCTGTCCTTCCCAAATAACGTAGTGACCTTATTTTACTTTGATATAAAAACTACAAGTTGGTGTAAGGTGCTTTGATGTGAAAATGGACGCTAACAAAACCATTTAAACCATGACAGTTGATTCTATAACACAAAAATGAAGAATAGTCCTTCTGGGCTGGAGTAGAGCTCAGTGGTGGGACACTTGCCTGGTGTGCTGGGGCCGAGTCTGGATCAGGGAGTCCACTTGGCAGGGCCATGTGATAACAGAGCAGCCTCCCAGTTTGAGGGAAATCATAAAAGGAAGTCTTTTCCTATAACATGCTTAGATATAAATGTCTTAAATGTCTTACACATTTTTGAACCAGTAAAACTAGTTTATATTCTCAGTTATTTGGTGTTACTCAACTTTTAGTTAATAGCATATCCAGTATTCTCACAGGAAATCAATGCTAATAACAATAACTTGCATTTCAGTTAACAAAGTAAATCTTATTATCCTCATTTTTATAGCTGCCATTTCCCAACCTTATGGGCTGATAGTTGGGTGATCTCTGGTTGTATATGGAAAAGCCTAAAGGGATTGACTTGCCAACTTCAAGTTTGTCCAAGAAGGACAAGGGACCATACACAAAACCAGTGTCGCGGTTTGGGCTGTTCAGTAGTCAGGATCTTCATACTGGCCCAAGAGACTGAATTTTTGCCTTAATAGCATTGATTTCATATTATCTAATTCTCTTTATGGCTACTATTTGCTCTGATAAAGTTTATTTGTCCACATGTACTTCTCAAACTATTATGGAGATGATGACTAGTTTTTCCCCCTAGTCAGTCTTAATTAGTGCTAAAGTTAATGCAATAAAAACAAAATACTACGAAAATCTTGTCTTCAGTTATTGTAGCAGCATCAAATTGTCCTAAAGATTTCTAATGGCTACTCTGAATATTAGTTGACACAGAAGAGGCTTAAGTCACTGTTTGGGCATCACCACACCAGACCATGCTTGTTTCTGTCACAAAGGTCTGCAGAAAATGCTTGGGCCTTCGCTCATTCCCTTTGATGGTTTTTAACTCCAAACATTTCATTTGTAGATGCTCTAAAACTGTTAGCCATTTTACGAAGGAGCCCACAGACTTACTGTCACATAAGATTATCTTTTCTTTTCTTTTTTGGTACTGAGGCTTGAATTCAGGACCTTGCACTTTAGAGGCAGGCAGCAGAACCACTGATCTAGATCTCCGGCCCATTGTTTGAGTTTCTCCAAGTATGAACGTAATGGTCTTCATCAAATATGGATGGTGACTTTTCAGAAAAGAACTTTGTGTCTCTTTGTCTGAATCCACAGGATGCCCCATCTAGCTGGAGGGACTCCAGTTTGAATATACGGTGCTGTTAAGTCATTTGTTTGAAAAGACATTACCTTACACTTCTGTGTAAATATCAGTTGCTGCCTCTGTTACTAGTATAAATGAAGCCCCCTCCCCCTCTCTCCCTCCCTCTCCGTCTCCCCTCCCTCTTCCCCCCTCTTCCCCCCCCTTTTGGTACTGGGGATTGAACTCAGGACTCTATGCTCTCAGGGCAGGTGGCAGAACCACTGAGCTAAATCCTCGGCCCTGAAGCCTCTCTTTTAGGATTCAGTCTACTAGCGTAGTTCTAAATCTTGCTTGCTCTACCCAAAGTAAGTGACTTAATATCACAGTCTTCAGTGTAGCAGAGACAGCTGCTCAGATATAACAGTCTGAAAGGTGGTGCGTTCTCAAATCACAGCAGGCACTGCGGCAGGCCGGGGAGAGAGAAACCACATGGGATTGCTGTGCGGTGTCGGGAGGGTGAGAGAAATAAGACGCCTCAGGTGGGAATCGCTGTGGTCCCTAAGGTGCATTTCAATACCAGAGGCTGCCAGCTAGTGAGTCTATTATTGACATACAGATTCAGGTGTGTGCTACCTAGGAGGAACCCGGAGGAGAAGGGGCTGTAATCTGCCCAGACTTGGGTTCAGCCTAAGAGCAGTCTACAGTGCAAGGCTCCCAAACAGCCAACAAGAGAGGGTTTGCTCTGAAAAGGAAAATAGTGCAGAGGGAACATTACACGTTGTGGAGAAAGCCCTGTTCATGCTGAGCTCTGTCCCGCATTATCACATGCCCAGGGTGTTCCACTGGGAAACGCTGTCACAGGAAAATGGTCCCTGCGTGAACCCAGAGTCAGAATTTCAGGACTCGACATCCAGAAGTCAGCATCCTGTCACCCTCCACGAGGCTTTTACATTTATTTCCTCACCTCTGATTTCTCATCTGTTAAACATTCACTGAACTCTAGAAGGTATGATGGAGTTCAAGTGAGATAATCTGTTTAAGGCCGCAGTTTACTGTCCTGTGTACGTGCAATGTCAGCATTCCGTGTTGTTCATCCTGTTCCCAAAGGTTATGTGAGCAAAGTCAGTGGTTCCTAGCGACCATGTTTAAAGTGACTGTTGCAGGACTCCAGAGTCACCTGGAGTTGCACGCTACCCACGTCATTGCATGTTCTGAGCAGATCGTTTGAGAGACTGTTTATCTGTGCAGTCTGAAGCTCAGTTTTATCTACGTGATGGGAAAGGGTAATTGGGCTTGCAGTTTTCCTAGGGTGGGCACCACATGCACACGCCCATGATCTGTGTGTATAAAGTGGTAGGATGCCACTTCTTACAAAGAAGACACATACCTGTCAGACCTTGCTTCTTAAAAGAAGCACTTAATGAATATATCTGTGATTTTCAGAGCATGCTTGTGATCCAGAGTGAGTTTTATATCCAAGGACTGAGGAACCACTTTTCCATTGCAAAAACAGAACAGATCTTTATATCCCTCATTGTTTTCCTAGTGCAGCATCTTACCTAATTGTAATACAGTTGTTGAAACCAGGAAATGAAGGTTGATACAGGACTATTAACTTGACTCTTGGGGTTTTGCAGTTCTCTTACTAATGTCCATTTTCTGCTTTATGATCACACAAACAAGTCCTCTTGATCCCATCTTATCTATAACCATTCTTTAATCTTTTATGACCTTTGTATTTTGAAGAGTGCTGTGCACTGTTTTATAGAATGCTTCTCAGTGTTGGTTTGCCTGACATGTTCTTATGATTGGGTTGACCAGACACTGCCAATGTTATGATATTCCCTTCTCTGCGTCCATCAGGAAGAACAGAACACCAGCATCCTTCCACCAGCACTTTGATTTTGATCACTCTTTTAATATGATGTCTGTTAGAATTCACCATTGTTATGATTTCTCCCTTTGTCAGTAATGAGTGTCTTGTCATTTGCTGTTCCTTTGGGGGCTGAAAGTGGAACCCGGGTGCCTTGTGAGTGATGAGCACATGGCATACTACTGAGCTATACTCCCAGCCCTGTTTTGCTCTTAAGAAGGTTTTATGTTTTCTTAGATTGATTATCAGGGTTAGAGCAAGTGTCATTCACAGAGGGTTGCAGAGGGCCTTGACTTGGTGGATCTAAAAAAAAAAATACACACTTATAAAACGATGGAGTCATTATTTAAGTGTTTGAATGGATTTCTCGATCCATGCTGAAATGGATTGCCTGACGTTACATTGCAGGATTTTTGAGTCCTACCTCCAGGCAAATCTCATAGTTACTAGCAAAAATGAAAGTGCGAAATGCTTTTTAATGTATATTTAACAACACAGAGTCTGATGATTGCTGATGTGAAGTCTCTGTGGACTCCCTTTGCTATAAGAGGAGGATGCTAAGACTTTTTACACATTTATTTTCTCTAAATCCATCCCATGTTTACTTTTCAAATATCTATGATTGTCATTTATAACAAGATCATAAAACGTCAAATACTTTTAAGTCTAACTCAAACTCTGAACTATAGAATTACAACCAGTTTTCAGGAAAAGTAGAATTACCTTGCACAAGTGATATTTCCCTTACTATATCTTATGAGATTGCCGACTGTTAAATGATACTAAAGTATAACTATTTTAAAAAGAAAAGGTACAGCTTAGTAATGGGAGTGTACGGGTAATGCTACTTTATTCATCTTTCTGATTCAGAAATTCACATAACTCCCATTTAAAGGAGTTTCCATCATTGAATCCAGTGTCATGTCTTCTTGGGTTGAAGAAATAAATTTGGCAAACTGTACTTAATTCCTTCCTCTGGTGTCACTATTTAATAAGGATTAAGGTACCAGTTTTTTGCATTTGTACTGGGTGCACAGCAAGAGTTCACGTGTTATACTAATATATGCTAAATAGTTGTGTAGTACATAGATCATTGTTGTTAAAATGGTACTGAAGGCATTTTAGATCACAGAGCCCCAGTGGTCTACATTTTGTTTGCTTTGACGTTATTAAACTCAATCTGTTTCTCTAACTGTGACTCTAATTACTACATTTGCATGGCAGAAAAGTTTGCTTTGTGGGTTGACTTTTATTAGCAGTGCTTGCATGTTGTTTCCTGCTCTTTCTTGGCGTTTTATGAGCAGACAGAGCACCTTTGGTTGCATTGAATAATTATGCTCAGTCAGTAAGTTTTTAAGTTTGTCTTTGTTGTTTCTCTGATGTGGCCTGTAGGACGCTGCCGGCAAGGTGCTGGACCGCTGGGCCATCATGTCTCGAGAAGAAGAAATCATCACCCTTCAGCAGTTTTTGCGGTTTGGAGAAACCAAATCCATTGTGGAGCTGATGGCAATTCAGGAGAAAGAAGGTCAGGCCATCACTGTACCATCTTCAAAGACAGACTCAGATATAAGGACTTTTATTGAGAGCAATAATCGCACCAGGAGTCCCAGCCTCCTTGCTCACTTAGAGAATAGCAATCCTTCCAGCATTCATCACTTTGAAAACATCCCCAACAGCCTTGCATTTCTGCTTCCATTCCAGTACATAAACCCTGTCTCAGCCCCACTCCTGGGGTTGCCTCCAAACGGGCTGCTTTTAGAGCAGCCAGGACTGAGGCTCCGGGAACCAAGCCTTTCAACCCAGAATGAATACAATGAGAGCAGTGAATCAGAAGTCTCTCCCACACCTTATAAGAGCGATCAGACACCAAATAGAAATGCCCTGACCAGCATCACTAACGTGGAGCCCAAAACCGAGCCGACATGCGTCTCTCCCATTCAGAATTCTGCCGCCGTCAGTGATCTGACCAAGACTGAACACCCGAAAAGCTCTTTCCGGATTCACCGGATGAGGAGGATGGGCTCGGCCTCCAGGAAAGGCAGAGTGTTCTGTAACGCGTGTGGGAAGACGTTCTACGACAAAGGCACCCTCAAAATTCACTACAATGCCGTTCACCTGAAGATCAAACACCGCTGCACCATCGAAGGTTGTAACATGGTCTTTAGCTCCCTCCGAAGCCGTAATCGACACAGTGCAAACCCCAACCCCCGCCTCCATATGCCTATGCTCAGAAATAATCGAGACAAAGATCTGATTCGGGCTGCATCAGGAGCTGCCACCCCCGTCATAGCAAGCACGAAATCAAGTCTCACACTCACAAGCCCTGGCCGGCCCCCCATGGGTTTTACCACGCCCCCATTAGACCCTGTCTTGCAGAGTCCGCTCTCTAGCCAGCTGGTATTTTCTGGGCTAAAGACTGTACAACCAGTTCCTCCATTTTACAGAAGTTTACTCACTCCAGGGGAAATGGTGAGTCCTCCGACCTCCCTCCCGACCAGTCCTATCCTGCCAGCCAGTGGTACCATAGAGCAGCACCCCCCCACGCCCTCTGAGCCAGTAATGCCAGCAGTGATGATGGCCACCCATGAGCCCAGTGCCGACCTGGCACCCAAGAAGAAGCCCCGGAAGTCAAGCATGCCTGTAAAGATCGAGAAGGAGATTATCGACACTGCCGATGAGTTTGACGATGAAGATGACGATCCCACCGATGGTGGGACGTTGGTGAATGACATGAGCCATGACAATCACTGCCACTCCCAGGAGGAGATGAGCCCAGGCATGTCTGTGAAGGACTTTTCCAAGCACAGCAGGACCCGGTGTATTTCAAGGACTGAAATAAGAAGAGCTGACAGTATGACTTCTGAAGACCAGGAGCCTGAACGGGATTATGAGAACGAGTCTGAGTCTTCAGAGCCCAAACTAGGTGAGGAGTCCATGGAGGGGGACGAGCACCTTCACAGCGAGGTGAGTGAAAAAGTCCTGATGAACAGTGAGAGGCCCGATGAAAACCACAGTGAGCCCTCTCACCAGGACGTGATCAAGGTGAAGGAAGAATTTACAGACCCCACTTACGACATGTTTTACATGAGCCAGTACGGACTGTACAACGGTGGGGGCAGCGGCATGGCTGCCCTGCATGAAAGTTTTACATCGTCTCTGAATTATGGCAGCCCCCAAAAGTTCTCCCCAGAAGGGGATCTGTGTTCCAGCCCAGACCCCAAAATTTGCTATGTGTGCAAGAAGAGTTTTAAAAGCTCCTACAGTGTGAAGCTTCACTACAGGAACGTTCACTTAAAAGAGATGCACGTCTGCACAGTGGCCGGCTGCAACGCTGCCTTCCCCTCCCGCCGAAGCAGAGACAGGTCAGTAAATCTCCATTGGCTGCCGCTGCTAAGGGTGGAGGGTGCCGGTTTCAGTCACGTTGGACTTAGCATTAAAAGATCCACCTGAGCCGTTTTGAGGCACTGTACCAATGCCCACGGTGGCCCACGTGGTAACTTAAGCTGCCATGCCCTTGAGGGATTGCTGCAGTTGGTGCTCGTATTGATGAAGCATGCAAAGTCATGTGCCATTGTACCCAGTAATGCACGCCACTTTTCTCTGTGTGCTGTGTATGTGTGTGTATGTGTCTCCATGCATTCGGGTGTGAGTAAGTTAACTGTACACAGTCCCTGCCTCCCCATGAAGCTTTATTTAGAAGCTGCATCTTCTGTCTCATATATATATATAAAAATATATATATGTGTGTGTGCATATGTGCATATATATATGCACTTTGCCTTATGGCTTTTTAATTAAATCAAAATATTATCTTCATATACACATATTTATCCAATATAGAAACAGAAATTTACGGATGGAAAGAACCGTAGGTCCAGGACATCGAGACAGCCTCCATCTCCGTAGGTATAACCAGAAATGTTATCATTCCTTACATGAGTCTTTAGTGTATCCTTGAATGCTTTGAGAGTCATGAGAATACCCAAAGAAAACAAAGCCAAAGTAACTGTTGATGTGGGAAAGGGTGTGGTGGTGGTGTGGGTTTCTTTATTTTAACTTCACAGTGTCTTTGATCTCATCTGCCGTGGAGTTAGGCACAGAGGGCCAGCATGGGTGTGCCTTAGAGTCTTTCAGGATATGTCATGTCCAGCCTTCAGATGACTCATGCTCTAGCTACGTAGCTGCAGCTCTGAAACTGCAGGGCTTAAACAGACGTGGCTGGTTCTAAACCGACTGTATTCTTGCTTAATCCTAAAGGCAGTGGAATGAAAGTGGAATGTGTTGAGGCGGTCGGGGTGAGGTGACATGGTCACCCTCACGTGTGGAGATAGCATCAGTAGATCGTTTACCCAGTAGGCCACCATAGGACGCTCACCGCTTAGCTCCTCTTGCTGTACTGAATGTGGTTTTTGACTCTATGTTGTCTTTAAAAAATATTTTTAGGGAAAATTGGATTACAAACCAAAAATTGATATATGTCAAAGAAGCAAAATTAATGACCAAGTTTCCAGATGGTGACCACCCAGATTGCAGGGCTTATCAATTGGAGAAAGTTTTTTGACAAAGCAACATGTTCGTGAAAGTACCACTAAAACATGGTGACCCATCTTTGGGATACATTGCTTTATCTTCATACTCTGATCTTTCAAGTATGAAGATAGATCAATCCTTCAAATAAATGTGTAAAAGTACATATTTTCCTTTCTACTGACATAAGAGAGGCCCAATCTGTAAAAAGTAAAAGCTCTAAGGAAAATGAGTGGCTTTCCTATACAACTTCATGCTTCGAGGGGAAATCTGTTGAAGATTGTCTTACCCCATTTACCTTGTTCTGTAAAACTTGTTTGTAGTTGCAAGGTTATTTTCAGTTCCAAGTTATCGAGAGCCCTAGAATATGTCAGATAGGACAGCCATCCTTTGAATAATAAAATATACACACCCAGCCTCCCCTAAATTTGTGAATAATCCTTCAAATTTGAAATAATGCATTGATAATAAAGTTAATGCATTAAAATTTTTAACAAAAATAAGACTCGTGAAAACCTGCATAAAGTATTTATGCAGGTGATGTATTTGAAGATAAGCCAAAATTTAAGCTTATTTTCATGAATTTCTATCATGGTTGTAATTGAGTCATTGAAAATATTGTGGGTCATAATACTGGGATAAATAGCTGTGGGACTAAAAGGCCTCATGCATACCCTACGCTGGGTGTTTTCACTCATGTAAACCAGCAGAAAACACAAGTCCTGGCTTTAAGGAGGAACTGTGGACAGACTTTTGGTTTGTATGAAGACAAACATTTATTGGTAGCAGGGAGATATTTCAGACTTCATTTTTATTCTGCATGATTAGGAGCTTGGTGGTGACCAGCCACGTTCCACTGACTAACCGGAATGTTCTAGGTAGGAGACCAATACAGGTGTGTTCGTTCTCACAGAAGAGAAACTTCAAAAGACAGTTGAGACATTGCTTTTGGGTAAAAGACCACTCATACTTCATCTTTTTTATTTTGTTGTTTTGTCACAATGATGAAGGAAAGCCAATTGGAAAAAAATTGTAGAATGCAACATTTTTGAGTCTACTTGGAATTTTGCTCTCTAAAAATATGTAAATTTTTAGATTCCAGATTAAAATTTTAACTCTAAAACTTTAGTTTTGATATTTTTTTCTCAAGAAGAAAACTGTTCATCTTTGTTGAGTCCCTGACGTGGAGATAATGTGAGATTCATTATCACTAAAGGAGAAGCAGTGAGGCCATTAGGGTATCACCCTCTTCCTGTAGCTCAGCAGGGTGGGCTATGGAACATGTTTGCACTCCTGTCTCGGCATTTTACCCTTATTCTGTCAGCTAGCATCACGCCTGTGAGTCAGCCTCTTCATCCACAAAGCCTCTTGGGTCGCCCCTCGGTCAGCCCTTGGACTTGCTTTTTCCTCCCTCGTCACTTTTACTGTCTGAGTCATGAGGACCCCAAGGAGCCTCTGCTCCTGTATTTTCCCCTCTTCAGTTTACTATGAAGCCAAGCCAGCAGGCTTTTCCAAAGAAACCCTTCTTTGTCTTCATCCTGCTTCCTCCAGCTCATTTCTTCCCTCTCGGGTTCATCCAGCCTTGATCCCACACACTGTGTCTTCCTCGTGCAGAGTAAGAATTCGAGAAGGTTGTGGGCGAGGGCTGGTCTGTGAGGCCACCAGGCTGCCTGTGAGAAAGCTAACAGCAGCATCCCTTCCTCTGTGCTCATCTTCAGGGTCAGAACACCTTAAGGGAGTCACATGTGGGTCCCCTGGGCCGCTTCCAGGAGGGTGGACAGGAGGGGTGGTGGTTTTGGACTTCAGGCAAGCATATTAGTAAGTTGGATGTAGAAGTATATCAGATACTATGTTGTGGGTCTCACAGAAAAAATTCCCAGGTCTTTCCTTATGGTCCTAAGATCAAATTGAAGACATTTTGAAAAGCAACAGTGTTCTTTTCTCAAGTGAAAGAAAGACAGGAGGGACACACAACGTTTGTCAGGGCTGAGGATTCTAAGCAACATAGTCAAAGCCATTCTTTTCTACACAGTTGTCAGTGAATATGTGTTTAGTGAGTTCAGAAGCCAAGAGGGCCATTCCACACTAATGACAGCAGAAAGCCAGCAGACACAGCCTAGTATGCCTGGCCCAAGTGCTAGGGAGCTGTTAGAATAATTCTTATTCTGAGGAATAGAGGTGAAATATAAATAATTTTCTCTGTAAAGAACTCTGATACTCTCAACGTGATTGCTAAGTGTTCCGTGTATGTTGATATAACACTATGCAACGTTAGATTTTGAAAACTCTTCCTTGTTTATCTCTTCGTTTTTCTGCCACTGAGCTGCAGTTCTGCCAGGAAACAGGAAGCCAGCCCTTGGTATGAAACATTTGCTGGGAAGAAGAGATTCTGGCTAGCTGACTGGACCTATAGTCTTGATAAGGGAAATTTTCTCAAAGGTAGCATCATAATCAGAATTAGCAGACTTAGTTCACCTTTGGTTATTTCCCCTTCTCTGACCTAAAGTTTGACCCTAAGGAAGGCCAACTGGCCCACGGATCACTTGTGTTTAAGGGAAGTCGATGTATAAATTACATTGGATTATTTTTCGGGAGGGGATGAAGCAAATAAATACTCTTCTATCCCCTTTCTTTCTTTTTTGGTACCGGAGATTGAACTCGGGTCCTTGCACTTGCGAGGCAGGCCACCGAACCACTTAATACTCATCGTCATTTGTTAATATGTCAAGATTTACTTACATTTGTTTCAGTGAGTGGCTATTTTAAAACTCCCTTGACTAAGATGAAAACTTTGGACTCAAACTATGTTAGAAAAGAAATATTTCTATTTTTCATCCTCCAGAAGTTTCATGATCTGTATTCTTCTCTTCTCAGAACAGGGGCCACTAACTGCTAAAGTTTGTCTTAAATTTTATCAGAACAGTGAGCGTATCTGTTCGATCTTTCAAGGCATAGCGGCTATGTGAATAAGTATACAAAATAATATTTGTTTAGGGCGATTTATAAATAAATATGAGGCAACCACAGGTGCTGAGTGTGAACCTTCTGTTTGACTGCTAGTTAAGTCAGTCCAGATTTAAACATGTAAACTTCTTGATTTGTATGGAGCAAGACATCTGTATTTGGTTTATTAAAACCTGCTGATGTCTCCAGAACTAAATTTGTTCATATATAGGCCTCTGGGTAGCTGTAACTAAAAAGCAGAGATGTATAGTTTTTGCTTGTCTTATTACCTGACTTCCAGCTCTGTACAGGTGTGCAGGAATAAATTAGCACAAGCTACCTCTGATGAGCCGCCGCATACATTAACAGCAGAGGTGAAGATGTGAAAGCATGCTACCTGCCTCCTGTTACCACCTTCTCAGCATAGCCACACTCATCTTTTCTGCCATTCTCTGTTTGGAAACTTATAGAGAACTTTTCTAGAGAGAGCTTTTCAATAAATACACATGATTTCACCAGGCAGTACCTCCAAGAAATGAGCCACTTAGCACCAATTCAAGATAACTACTGTATTAGTATATTTGCCTAATACAATTAGCTGTCAAATACAGTGTGTTAATCCTCTCGAAGTTCAAGAGTAGAACATTTTAAGGGATCATCTGTTTCATTTCCTGTTGTTTTGTACAATGAAACTCCAACTCTGCATTTATTCAGTCCTTTTAGAAAGTGAAGTTGTGCAGTTCATCTGACTTCTAAATGTTAAGGAAGAGATTTTTTTTCTTCCTGCTGCTCTATTTGATTTCACAATGGAGCAAGCAGATCAATAGGCCTTTTGTACTTATCTTCATTACTTCCCATCAAAAGCAAACAAACAAAATAAATCCCCTCCTGAGTAATTGCTAGTTGTGCCCTCCTCAAGCAAAACTTGGGTAGTAAGATAAACTTTGGTGTCATTCCTGTCCCTGGGGTTCTTTTTATACACTGGGAGAAGAGCAATGAGCAAAACGGTCTCCTTGTATCATGGGGAGAGACTCTGTCAAGCCTAAAGTGAGCCTCCGATCTTCCTAATGACCTCCTGCTGGCCCAGCTGGATGCAAGACAAGCTCATTTAAGCCTCTGCTGACCTTTCACTCCAGCACAACAAGAACTACACCAGTCACTGCCAGTGTCTTCGAAACTCTGCACCAAATAGGCAGCAAAGCTTAATGGCTGGTGAATCATATCCCTTGCATGATGCAGCTATTTTTACAAATTTCTGTTGGTGGGAGTTAACATTAAATCTCCTCTGGCTGAATCAATTCCACTGCACACAAAGGTAATGTTATCAAATAGCCCTTATTTTTACCTTTTCTAGAAAGGCGGAAATTACTGTTATCGCCAGCATTGTCTCACAAATTCTGTGGCAAAAATACCAGAAAAGAAGGCACATACTGAGT